TCCTAAACGAATATCATTCCAATCGATAATCGTGTAATGTTTTCGATTCAATAAAAAAACAAAATACTGATGACATAATCAAATGAATAACACTATGCTTCTGTAAGACGAGTATTTTAAAGTGGCAGTACTTTTTCAGAGCGTTAATTCGAAGGTTTTCTGTCTCTATTCTGTACTTTCAGAGCGTGATTCTTCGCGTTTCCATGGCCAGTATATAAGGTGATTTTGATATCTGGCCGTACTCTCTGCTTTTTCACCGAATATTCTATATTTAGAAATTTAAAGCGAATGTTCAAGAAAAATTTTCAGCTGGAATAATTCTCATCAGTGCAAAGTGAAAAATCAATCGCTTGTTCAATCAATTCATTCGCAAAAACAACCACTGAAATGGCAAATGTTAAAGGAAAATCACATGGAGACCAACTGAGTGAATACAAAGCCTCACATGATGTTAGTTCAAAATGCATCCATTTAATTGGTATTCCTTTGCCCAAATTTTCAAATCATCACCGAGAATCTTTTCATCAGCCCATAAGATATTTTTTGTGTGCTTTCATTACGATGATGTGCCATGACGAGCGTTCGACAGCATACAGTAATTCATTTAATGCTCGTGAAATTTGAGCAATCGAACAATCAAACCCAAAAAAAAGATCTGAATAGCACTAAAGTCGAAATATTTAAAAACTGGAAATCAGATGCGATCAAATGACAGTAAAAACAATAGGGAATTGAAAGAATACAGTATCAAATGTTCAGAGGTGTATAGTGCAATCAAACGAGCATTCTGCTCTAGTAAATCAGTGGTTGTCGCCACTTGAAGTGGGCTCGATCAAGCTTTAAAAAAATGCAAATAAACCGTGAATCAGCAATTTCATTCCCTAGGCCTGTGAAGTCATCTCGGAATCTGGCATACAGATAGCATTCTTTGAAAATGCTTCAATGCCAGCGCGTGAATCAATTTCAGTCATCTTTATGGATTCTTATTCTTGAGTGCATCACATCAGTAGTCTTATACCAGCGCATTACAAGGCACCTAGCTGGAATATTGTCATACATATTGTCTAACGAGACGGATGAAAGCATGAATCGAATGCATGATCGAAATCAGAAAGAATTGTTCACAGAAACTGTGCAGCAATTCAGTGAAATGATTTGATAATGCTCGAGTGAGATCACTTCTTACCACAATGCTGTATTCAGAAACCGTTCGTGCTGACCACATCGAACGGAGCACCGATATTCGAAAAGAAAGCCTCGTTGACAATTGGTCCCCGTGGTCCAATTCTTCTGCAGGATGTCATTTACATGGACGAGATGGCACACTTCGATCGTGAACGCATCCCAGAACGAGTCGTGCATGCAAAAGGCGGAGGTCAGTAAACGAACACTTGCAATTGATCAGAATAGAATAACATTCACAAGTCCAAATACCCCAACTCAGACCATCAGGGCACATTTTATCATCAGCGCTTCATTCCACCCATTAGAGTACTTCATAAAAGTCAACCCTTGAAATACTCGACTGACAATTGAAAAATTCTAGCGGAAAATCTGAGCCGTTCCTAAGGCACTGCGCTTCTATCTCTCGATAGATTTGATCAAGAAAATTTTAAAAATTTCATGTATATTTCATATATATGTTTATCCGAAAGTATCTACAATGGGTACAATGACAAAAACAATATCCTAATTAATTCACATGTCATCCCTTCGAGTTGC